CCTACCTGATGCCTCAGTATGGAAGAACTCTAACAATGGTTGCTATTATAGTGCTCTTATTATTCTCTAAACAAGTAAGGAAAAACTTCAGCCTGTTCTCTAAGTAAGTTTCCACCCTATGCAATGGCCTGCCTCCCATCAACACCTATTCAAATTCCAGGCTTCCCCATGGCAATCCTCTAAACTGAACCATTTTATTTTTATCATGGTTGGCACCAGAAGACTAACAAATACGTCAGGACCAGCAGGTGTTTTCTAGCTCATTGCTGGGTCCTAAATCCTCAAAGGCAGAAACACCAACTTCAATATCTTTGTTTACGTTATAGCACAGAGCTGTGTGCAAAACCTGTGTGAACATTTCCTGCATGATTGAAAATTCGCCTTTTGAAGTGTTCAGGGCCCTGGAAATGGCTACATTTACAACACGGCTAATCTTTTTTAGGGTTGTCATAGCTACCTATTTCATAACAAATATGTATTTATTAATATCAACAAATAATAGCTAGTGTTTGGGACTATTGTTTCAAAGTATTTCTAATCCTTTGGTTGGGTGCCTGAAAATATGAAAACATATTTAGAGTTCACATTCAAAAGTTGCAGATTACAAATGGCAACTCCATTTCCAGAGCAGAAGGAGGGAGGGAGTGTGCATATGGACGTAGTTATCAATAGCTCCCTCTTCCATGCTCAGGAGTTTTTGCAGTTTGGACAATGAAATGTGAGGCATCCTAATGAGGATTCTAGCTACCCAGATCTCAAGCCCTTATTTTTTATTATAGTGGAGAAAGCCCGTGTTTGCAGGAGAGAGCAAACTAATAATTTGGGAAGACTTAACAAATATTTCAGGATGTTCTTGGCAATTTGTTGATGCTGATCAGAACAATTTCCCCCTATTTTTCCTTTTTATTTACATTTTATTTCAACATGTTTGCTCTGTTTGAGTATTTTCATTTTTAATTGTGGCAAAATACGTCCAACATAAAGTTTGCCATCTTAGCCATTTTGAAGTATAAAATTCAGTACTGTTAAGTATATTCACATTGCACAACAAATCTCCAGAACTTTTTCTTCTTGCAAAACTGAAACTCTATACTCAATAAACAACTCCAGCCATTTCCTCTTCCCCCAGCCTCTGGCACCCACCATTCTACTTTCTGTTTCTATGAGTTTGACTGCTCTGCATACCTCATGTAAGTGGAATCACACAGTATTTGTCCTTTCATGACTGGCTTATTTGACTGAGCATAATGTCCTCAAGGGTCCTCCCTGTTATTGTATGTGACAGGATTTCCTTCCTTTTTCAGGCTGAGTAATATTCCACCATATGGATAAACCACCCTTTGTTTATCCATTCATCAACTGATGGACATTTGGGTTGTTTCCACTTTTTAACTATTGTGAACACTGCTGCTACGAACATGGATGTACAAATACCTCTTTGGGACTCTGCTTTCATGTCTTTTGGATATGTACCCAGAAGTGGAACTGCTAGATTATGCGGTAGTTCTATTTTTAGGTTTTTGAGGGCCCACTACACTGTTTTCCACGGTGGCTGCACCACTGTACATTCCCACCAACAGTGCACCAGGGCCCCAATTGTTCCACATCCTCGCCATCACTTGCTATTGTGTAAAAAAGAGCTATTGGCTCTTTTTTAACACTGGCCATCCTAATGGGTGTGAGGTGGTACTGTAATTCTGATTTCTGATTCACATTTCCTCACAATTATTGATGTTCTATGTGCATTAGCCATTTATTTGTATGTCTGCTTTGGAGAAATGTCTATTTGAGTCCTTTGCCCATTTTTAAATCTTTTTTTTTTTTTATTGTTGCTGCTGCTTAAACCTTCTATTTGCAGCCAGTGAGTCTTGATATTCCCTCTCTTAAATATTCCCTGAGAGGCACCCCAAGATGCTCTCCTGCTTAGTAACACTAGGATTAAAAGGAATGTTATCTCAAGAATCTTGAAATCAGAAAGTAGTTGGAAAGGCACCATTTCATAAACCTCAGATATCCACTGTTATCGACTATCCAGAACTCTTAGAGAAGTTTTGATATGTATGAAGTTTGTCATAAGGATATTATACTACTATTATTGTGCACATTCATTTCAGTTCAACATTTACAGATGTTGTGCCATGGATACATAATAAAACACACACAAAAAATATTTTAGCTCCTTTGATCTAATACCCACTACCTAGACTCTGGGTCCCTTATCTTTGGGTATAAACTTTTTAAATGATTTTTAAAAAGCTACAGATCTCTTCTGATCTTTCCTACCAGATCTTCCCTCTCTGAATGAGGAAGTATATACATCCTTAAGTAAATCTCATTTTGGGGTTGGACCTGTCAATTTTCCCAGGCCCCACCCAAGTGAAAAAAACACATCCTATCTGAAAATCTAGTTTCTTTAAAATTCTTGGTAAAGTTTTAGAGAGAGTCCCTATACAAGGCTATCATTTCTGCTTCTATATAGAAGTTTGTAGCTCTTTCAGAAAAAGCATTCTGGTCGCAACTTGTTGAACCATATACAAAAAACCTCAACTTGTCTTTAAAATATGAAGATCTAGGCACAAGATCTTTCTACATTGGTATACATCTTTTCCAGACAACCAGTTGTCCACAATACCCTCCATCTATGTTTGTGTCCCAAATCTGAGTCTAAACCAAACCCTCAGGAAGCTTGCATGTGAAAATATTCTTAATCTCAGCCTGCATTGGGAACAATGCATAATCCCAGGGTTGAGGAGACAGCAGAACTAGCCCAGGCACATGGCCTCACAGAGGGTTACTTTTGGAGAAGTCCCCGAAGACCATCCAGTCAGATTAGGCCTAGTATCATGTGAGGCAACACAGACCCAGCATGGGAGACATTTCCTCACTGCCATAAAAAGATACTGGTCTCCAGACAGCAGAGGGCTTAATTGGGGCCACACTTCTTTTTCCCACAAATTTTTTCCATACTAATTTTTTCAGAAATGCTCTTGATGCTAATTTCCCTATTTACAGAATACAAAAATAATCATATTGCTGAAAATCCTGGAAATATGTGTTTGCCTTTAGTAAAAGGGTCAGTATTATGAAGTTCAACTCAAGAAAAAGTTTTTCTAGAACACGACCAGGTGGCCAACTTCTAGAGAAAGTGCTTCCAGGCCCCTTCAGACTTGAGAACAGTGGCCCATCTAGAGGAGGAGGGGCATTGAGCTCCTTTTTATATCAAACTCCCTGACACACACCACAGGCTATGTGTGGTCTATGCTTTGCTTCCTGTTAAGTAGGATTAAGTTGTTTTGGATTAAGACTTTGACATCAACATGAACACCTACATCCATAGAAAAACAACAAAAAAGCAACTTTCCTGTATGGCTTAAGGTAAAAGTCTAGACAGAAGTGACTGAGACAAACAAAAGCCTGGACTTCTACTCCAGGAGAAGAGCACTGGCCCAGGAATGCCCCAGAATTGTGAGACTTATTGCCACAGCACATCTGGAATCATCTAGATGACTGACAGTACAGTCTATTATTTCAGGAGGGCTATAAAAATATATGAGCCTCACACCACGTGTACTGTGGGTGAGGGAGCAAACTTGGAGAAATTTTTGCTTCTGCACTTTCTGATTTAGGAACAGGAGAGGTGGGCAGAGGTCTAAAATGTATTATACCTATTAGTGAATCTGTATGTCTTGGTCTAGTATTGGTCTCTTGGGCAAAAGAAAAGTGGCCAAAAGTTAATCTCATGTACTGCATATGGAACCCATTCAAAATCTTGTTCAGGTCCTCAATGAATCTATGGAACCATTTCCCTTTTCTGATAGATAAATCAGGTTGTCTTGTATGTAGTTGGGTGGACCCACACATTCGTTAAAAAAAAAATTTCTCTGATCCAAAAATTCTTGGTTTGGGGGTAGTTAAAATGCAATTGAGGTCCCATGCTCAGTGTGGGCACTTAAGACCGAGGAACCACATTCTTGAAAGGAGAGTACTGTCCTGGTTCCATAAAACAGTTCCCAAATCAACAGACATCTGCCGGAGCACCGCACACCAAGTCCAATAGTCATTCTTTTTTCTTTTCAAGTACCTTGGTATTAGCACATACGTATACACTGACTTCGAGTAATTGGACCATACAATTTGTACATAGTCTACGAGGTTTATGAGAAATAACAAGATCACGAAACCAGGCTCAGGGAAGGCCGCTCCCTTCCAGGCGCACCGCGGGCGGAGGGGATGCGAGGGCATGGCGTGCTGGTGACGACCCCGGGCGGCCCGGCCACAGCGCAGGGTGGAAGCGGAGGCGAGTTAGGGTGTGCGAGGCACTCGCAGCCGCTTGCGGAGCAACTAGGAGACGCTCGAAGGAAGCAGTAACGGATAATCCCGGAATGGGGACCGGTGAGGGTCAGTGTGAGGCTAAATGAGGATAAATAAAGCCAAGTTGCTCCGTAATTTAAAGCCTAAGCCTGGCGAGGAAGGAACCTTAGGCAACAGCCCCAGGGGCACAATTGGGGTGTGACAAGAGAGCTTTGCTCCAGAGCAACGGGGACAGTGAAACCGGGAAGGAGCCACCAATGGCCCGGGAGGAGGGTCTGGCAAGGACGCTAACGGCGGAGGCTGTGAGGTGAGCGGTAAACTACGGGAAAGGCTGTGCGGACGCCGACAGCCGGCAGAGAAGGCGCAGGGTCGGGGCGTGGCCCAGCCGGGAGCTGCCCCGCGGGCGGTGGGGAGGCGGCGGAAGAGCGGCAGGGAGCTGAGCTGACAGCCGCCGGCGAGCGGCGCCGACGGGGTTAACGTCCGCCGCGGCCGCGGAGGAAGATCTCGGTTTCCAGGGGAACAGCTCCGCCAGTTCCGGCAGCGCAGGCCGTACCATCGGCGCGCGCGGGGGGGGGGGGGGGGG